ACTCTTCAAGGGCGTGGCAGTGATTACCTCGGATTCACTTTACTTCTCAGACACGCCCATCGCTGACAAGTGGAAGGGTGCTGACGCCACTTTATTCAGAGTGGAACCTTTATCGCCATTGTTTTACTTAATTTCTAGGCATTGTTACGCCTGCTGTTTAAGTAGATCGTCGTATTCGTGATGATAGCATCTGTTTTTACTCAAACTACGTCTGCGTCAGCCATGAGCTTCCTAAAAATAATTGGCAGAAAGAGCATCTTGTTCCTCGAGTTTTTGCACACTGCGTATTTTTTCACCACAGTATTATTTGGCGCCTCTGCTTTTAGTTCCGGCGATCGGCTTCATCTGAGCGTCGCCTTTAACGGAGCTCTCATTGCAGGTTATTTTATCATTCTTATACTGTTGTACTGCAGGCGCATTGAATGCCGCGTATTTCTATAGATATCAGCTATGCCTGTTTAATTCTGCGATAAAATTCTCGAAACGCACTATGGTGATAATAATTGTGTGCACCTATGTGGTATCGATTGGTACAGTACCACCCTTCTCAACTGTGGCTTTCAAAGAGAACGCAGAAAGCGTTGCCCAGGTGAAAAAGGTACGTAATTTTCAATTACAGTTGCTGTGTGACTTCACGACCAGTGCGGCGATTGAAGTACATTTTATATGTATTGATTTACCAGAGTGGTTATAGCCTCATTATTCATAATTTGTTCGTTTGCGATAAATCGTTTCTTCAGATTGATCCTACCGTAGACCTCGGCGAGAACTTTGCCCTGGTTGATTATGGTACAGCAGCAAAGCTTTATATTCTTTATAAATGTGTGCATACCATATTATTGCTTCTCGTTATGATAATGATAGTTAAACACACCTCCATGGTGTTACGAAATCAAGCGAGATTTAGTGAAGGGTCAAGGAAAATGCACCAGGAAGCCATTCGTGGATTGACTGTCCAGGTGAGCCTACAAAACGGCAGTGGTTCAAGGTACTGCTTAAGAAATTCGTGTAAAAATCAAAGAGTGGGAGAATGATCTAAAGCAGGACCCCCTCCCCTTCCCCAAAACGGGCGACGGACTTTTGGCTCGTCCGGGCTGGCACGCGGCAAATTGCGCGGCGAGCGGCGCGGCGATCCCGACGCATCGCGGGAATTCAACACGTCAAAGCGTGTGCAGATTGCGGATAAAATCCGCAAGGTTCTGCGATTCGAATTACATTCCAACGCTGGGATTTTGAGGACAGCGGTGTTGGTAAGGAAACTCCAGTAGGAAGAAATAAGCAGGAACTAGCGCTGTATGGCGATCAGGGCGCTCATATCCTTGGAGGACATTCTCATTGGGGAGGGAGAAGAGTCGAGTGAGTGAGCCAATTGCTGTGTTTGGGACTAGCCTTAGAAAGGGGAAGGAATTTGTGTTCTCCATGGTGTTTCTCCCCTCTCCTAGGCTTAGTCCAAGTGTCACCTACCGTCGTCCCAGACCTGAATGTTCCCGCTAAAGGCATGAGCGTCACG